AAAAACAGGAAAGGTAGAGGGAGCTGATCTATTATCTAACAGCTTCTTTATAGAGATTAAACCATCTCAGAAGCTGTGCATCCTTTTGTTTCTACGCATTGTATTATTTTTCTTTGAAGCCTTCTAAATAAGCAGACACCTATAATTTAAAATGCACAGTTTAATTTGAATTCTGAAATGAATGTTTTAAGTGCAATGTCCATGGGTTTGTTGTATCTGTGTGAGCTATGATCCCAGATAAGTTTTCTGCTGTCATAGGTCATTGCCATCAGTAATATTTTGAGATGTTGGTTATTGTGGAAAAATCTTCTGGGTATACTTCATACAAAGTGCAAAGCATAATACAATATTTACAATTTCAGCACTGCACACTATTAATATTTGATTGGTGTTGCAAGTGTCACATGCTGTTATTGTCAGTGGCACTGAAAAGAAAATGTTCAATGGGGAGAACAACCCTGTACATAGAAAGATCAAGAAAGACAAGTGGCAGTCAGAAGGTTAAAAGCATCATGATGAGATATCAAGGGACTTAAAAAGTATAATTATTTAAGGAGTATTATCTACTTCCCCTTGAACAAGGCTCGTTTTCAAATAAAGCTTTATCACACCATTGCTTGTAAATCACATTGCTGTTATGTGTAGAGTATAGCAAACTTTTACCATCTTCTTGATCAAACAATAGAGCAAGGACGGGAAATTTGTGGCTGTCCACATGATGTTACACTGCAGCTCCCATCATCCCACACCACTGGCTTTGTTACCTGTGGCTGATGGGAGTGACAGTCTGCCAACATCTGGAGGGACACACATTCCCTGATGAAATAAGGTCATGAGGCCCCACAATAAAACTATTGTTTCAGAAACCCACCCCCAAAATATTGGCATGATCCTTGCCCCCAATTCTAGATGATGACAATCCTATTTTTATACCTGATCATCTAAAGGAGCAGTAAATTTTTAGATACATCAACCAATGGCAAATTTCCCATAAAGAGCTAAAATTAGTACAGAGTCTGTAAAGCATGATTCATTCATTTCAGATATTGCCTGCTGGCACCTCAGTACTACTTTGTTACATTCATTTTGTGTTGTTTTTATTGTAACCATCCCAAGACACTAGTAGTTGGACAGGATATAAAAGCTTTAAATAAAATGAATGAATGAATGAATGAATAAATAAATAATCTCTTTTGTAATTCCATGCTTTTCAATTTGGTTGCCTTTTCTTCTTTTGAGTTAGTTTGTGACTTGTGTCTAGGCACTATAGAAAGTCACTCACTGATGTTATCATTCTGAGGAGGAGGAGGAGGAGGAGGGCAGGACCAAAGGGGGCTGGGTCTTTGTAATTTCAAGGCAGAGTGTGACAATTGGCCTGCCTAGGAAGGGACAGAAGGGCTTTCAGAAAGGGAGGGAAGCATATGCAAGACCTAGTCCTTGACTCAGTAAGGAGGCTTCAGGAGAAATGAGCAGTGCAGCAGGAGAGGCTTCATCATTTGCACCATCTTGATCTCCATCTGTGAAAGCCACCCTGATGTTGGATGAGAAGCTTACTGAAAGGGGAGAGGCAGAACAGGAGGTTTCCAGTTTTGATCCAACTCTACACATAGGCAGATGCTTCTCCCTCAAATTTGGCAGAGTTCATACTGTTCTGTAATCTGTGTTTCAGTGAAAGAAATGCATTTTAAAAGCTAACCCTGAGTTTGAACCCAGGAGGGAGGGACTGGCTCACACCAGGCATCTACTTTTTCTTGTTCAGGCTCCATGGATTGCAATAATATTGCAGTTGTCCAAAAACTAAGTCAGTGCAATGTAGAACTGGACCTGGGGCTGATGAGACCCTCATTCATGTTGTGGTATGCAGATCCACCCAATATGTTCAGTGGTAATTGATTGTTTAAATAATAAGCACCTAACAATTGTTTTCAGGTTTATATTCATATTTATCAGTTGTGCGTCCACAGCATGGGAATGATAGTGCTTAGTGTCACCGTTTCCCACACCCTGTTCCCAGTGCACCGCTTCTTTGTCCACAGCTGACTTAATACAAAATACTATCAGTGCTACAATGTTTGGCATAGCCTTGGTACATGTGGCAAGTTAATTACCTTCAACCTAAACTGGATGTTCTCAAGTCCAGCTTATGTGATGACAGAGACTTCATAAGATGTCATTCCAGTGTTACTACAGCAGAGCAAACATTCACATTGAAATTATGCTTAAGAAACTTTTGGACTTTCCATTCAAATATATAAGGTAGAAATGGGATTTTAGGTTACTGGCTTTTTCACATAAGTAAAACTGGAAAAGTAAAAATATTGAAAGGAAACACAAGAGAAAAACTCTTCTAACAATAGCACTGTGCATAGAAAGCATTGAAAATGTGCTCCCCCACAGTAAACTCCTACAATCCGGCCTGAATTCAGATGGGATGGCTTATAAGTAATGTTGCTGACAGACATCCAAATCAATTTAACAGAGTAAATAGCCTATTTGGAGAAATAAATGCTGGTATACTTTCCAGTGAACTAAAAGCAAGTATAAAAATTGTTTTAGTTGCTTCTGAACATTTGTGACATGAACAATGTAGAATATGTATACAGATGTTCTATAGACTTTTCTGGGTAGATTGCAAAATGTAGAAGATTCATCAGTAAGATCTTCTTGACATATCTTGTACCAGCACTCTCACTAAGCAGTTTCCTTTGTGATGTGTTTTTTATAGATTGTATTATGAAAAGGTTTCTACAGAAATGGGAGCTGTACAATCAAGATTAGATCTTTCACTGATAAAACTCCAAATTAATGGATTGATTTAATCCACTCAAAAGTATATACCTTATTTTCAACCACAGAATAACAAGAGATACAGGTGCAGTACTAGAAAGGTTAGGAGCGCTTGCATGAGAGCATGGCCTGCATTCTTTCTGTCTATATTTGATTTGTACATTTTTATTTGCAAAGGATAGATTTGAGGTAAATATATATCTTAAATAGTTGTATCTAACAAACATTTCAGCTTTTGCAGGCCTTTTATTTCCCCTTTAGTCAAATGCAGGGTGATCATATTAGGCTGTTGGCACTTTAAATGCTGACTGGTGTATCATGGAATAAGTTTTCATGGGACTCAGACATAAAATGAATGAAAAGAAAGAATGCGGTTGCTAGATACAGTCATTGGGGCCCAATAGAGGTTGTTTGAAAACTGCTGTTTTATTTTTGTCTGTATGCCTTATAACGAAGTCCAGATTCTTAATGCAGTAAATTTTATTTAAATGTTACTGAAAATTAAAACAGTAAACTGTTTAAAAAGTAGCTGGAACCTACTTTTTAAGAGGGAATGTATGTGTTACTGTGAATATCAGGCACTGGTGATGGTTCATCAGGCTTCATCAGCAAATATTGATAATTCTTCATTTACTGAAAGAATGCTAAAAGCTGTATCAACTGTTTCTAACTTCTAAAATTCACAGTAACAGGCACTATAGTGCCGCTAAGCAGTAAAGCAGACTAGCTGAAACATTTTTAGTAAAGAATATTTAGAAACCCTCAAGTGGGACTCAATCCTTGCTTTGTTGCATTGAAGCCATTATACTGAGACAGCATAACTGACAGTAGATTTGGCCTCTGGGATTTTGCATACCCATAGTAAACTAAGGCAACAATAAAACATGAGCAGTAGGCAAGTCACGAAAAGAAATTTCATGTGAAGTACATTCAAAATATGGGATAATTCTGGCAGTGTTCCAGAAATGATGATGTTTAGACAGGAGAGCAGTGTTGGGAATAAAACAGAATTAATGTTAAGATGTGCAAGAGGAAATAGAACTTCGAATCAGTAATCTGAAGCCCAGACTTTTGCATGCACTTCACAGGAAATTTTCAACTATATGGTTATGAAAGTAACATTAAAATGAGAGACAGAGAAAAGATGTTTGTATTAATAGTTGCAGAATTCCAAACCACAGTAGAAACTTTTGTTGCCTATGCAAAAAAATATACATCTTAACTACAAACTGTCATTCCCTCACTCACTGAACTGCACTCAGCAGAGTTTGGCTACACCAGCTATCTGACCAGCAGGAATGCAGTGAGTCTACCCCCTGCAAAGAATGTTATGTGGATTTTCAGGGGCAGTTTGCAGCTACCCAATTGACCTTCATTGGCCCAAATGTTTTTGCAAAACTGATTTTAATGTCAGTCTGTTATGCTATCCTGAGCAAAGTAAAGATCAATTTCAGTGATCAGAAAGGATTGTGTTGAGTGCTGACACTCAGTTACTGGTGGTATGGTAGATCTCTGGAAGCAAAGCAAACCTCTTGAGAAATCGTTTTCTTCTAAATTCTTAGCCTTCTTAATCATTGACTTTAATGGACCACTTCACTGAAATCCGTAGAGTAGTGTCTGCTAAACCAGGGTCTAATCAGATTCAATTCACCTTGAATACTTGAGGAAGACGAACACTGAAGTAGCTAACATATGCTCTTCGTTTCACCCATTTGACTCTTGTATGTACTCTAACACTTCAGTGGATGATTATCTGTTTTAATACCGTTTTTCAAAACAAGTCTTTTGTTTTAAGATGGATGGAGTTGATCGGCGAAGGAATAAGGGCAATAATTCAGAGGGCATTTTTCTTTGTGTGGTTGTTGTCTTTGTTTTTTTCTGTATCAGTGTGGGAATTGTACAAAATACTATGGAGTGGCCCGGCATTACAGCTGTGTCACAGAGATTAAGTGTGTAACTGTTTTGTGTCTAAAACCGTTTCTTCATATTCATATTACTTTGTACCTTGAAACAGCATTCAACAGGCACAGTTTCCCTTAAACCAGACATTAAGTAAAATAATTAAATGCTAAGGAAGGCAATTATTCTCAATACAGTATTTTAAAATATAAAACTATTTTTCTATAAAAATGCATTTACAATGGTATCTTGGTCTGTTTTTTTCCCCATGCATGTGTATGCATTGTTAAATGTAATGTTTTCTTTACCATCAGCAATGCATCTATTTGGCCTCAACTGGCAGTTACAACAGACTGAAAACGACACATTTGAAAATGGAAAAGTGAATTCTGATACTGTGCCAACACACACCGTATCATTACCTTCTGGTGAAAATGGTAAGCAAGCATTTAACTTTCACTATCTACCAAGGTTCTTATAACTCTCGTCTAACAATTGCAACTAATTTTATTACATCTACTGAAATTACAATGGATTTTTTTAAATGAACAGATAGAATTGCTGGATCCTATGACCTGATTTGAATGTTGTGACTCTCCATAGGCTTTTTAAGCCATCACTAGTTATGAACTAGTGGAAGAGAATGCACAGGTTGATTTGATAATTTATCATCATGTGTGAACCCGGAATGGCACACTGCTGAGGGAGAAACAAACCTAGAATTGTAATCCAAGAAGAAACTATGGAATTTTGAGATCTGATCATCTATTTCATAGTTGAAAATGATACAACCACACATCTGCTTTGACCCACAGACTTATTTGGTTTTACATCCATGCCTTAGAACCTGTCACTAGAAATTGAGAAGACAGAGCCACCTTCACTGAAGTTCTGGTATTGTTTTCCCATTTTCCTTTTGCTACCAGAAAAGAAGGCAATCTCAGAAAAGATTTAGGATAGATGTAGTCATTGAATTAGTTTCAGTTAATTGCTTTGGATATAACATAGAGTAGATTCACAGCAAATTAATAGGATTAAGAACAAATACTTTTTATTTAAATTTTCATCCCAATCTGTGTTTTAGTGGTAATTTATAGTTGACGAAGTTTGTATAGCAATGCCTGGAGAAAAAGTGCTAACAGAAGGATTGTGCATAAGACAGCTACCGTATTTAAAGTGAGTTTAGTTTGGATGACAGGAACATGTTTTCAGAGTAAAACATTGCTTGATTAGGAGTAAACACAGTCTCTAAAGGAAGCTCTTGAGTAGCCTTCCCCAGTTGGAAGTCCAGATTTGTTGGACTACAGTTTCCATTATTTCCAGTTAAAAAGGACAGTGTGACTGGGGATGGTGGGTATTTAATATATCAGAAGGGCACTAGCTTGGAGAAGGCTGCTCCTGGGCATATGCCATCTGGATATTATTATGTAGTAGACCCAGCAACTAGAACAGACACATTGATGTGTGTGCTTCTCATGGTCTGTTTGTCTTTCTCTGAAAAGCCTTAAGGCTTTCCTTGTGTTATACTGAAGTTGTATGCCTCCTATCATGGTACACTGTTTAGCTTTCTTAGAAGTTGTCCTAGGATATTATATTGAGGTTGCCTCTTCCAGGCAATATATAAAAGTCAAATGCCATATTAATTTTGTTGTGGGAGCTCTTAAACACAAACCACCTAAGGGATTACATTTTATTGACTTTCTCTGATGTTGCCCTTTAAGTTTTTCTAAATCTTAAAGAGCCCATCCACTTTTAGTGAACAGATCGATAGTTTTTAAATGGAAAACCAGATTTAAATGGTTGATGAATACTGTATTTGCTGAACTATTTCCTTTAAATCTGTTTTCCCATTCAAAATGTACTGGTGACCTCTGTGTCATTGCAGATATAGATAGAAGCCTTTTCTATTCACTTTGCTGTCCATCACAGTTCCAAATTACAGAAATGATATGACTCCATCTCCAATCTCTGCCATTTTTCAGAAATTTTGTCCAAAAGAATGCTCCTTTCCCTCCTTCTCTCATTTCTTTTTGCTTCAGATCTGTGCCTTGTACTTTAGTATCCATTATCTCTATTCTTATGTGGGTGGCTTCCTACTTATAGAAAAGAACAGGGGGAAAATCTATTGTGCATTTAATGAATATATATACACTGTACTAGCAGCTGTGGCTGCCACATTCTTCAACTATGACTAACCAGTGCATTTTTACATAGAAAGTCATTTTCACAATTGCTATTGACATGTTCAGTGTGCATTGGACAGAGAGAAAGAGGGGGGAAATCATATTCTTAAATGTTAATGTATTTGTGTTGAAGGGTATGGAATTAGATCATGGGTGATGACTTCCAGTGCAGTCAATTCAGATAAGTAGTTTCTGATAATATGTAGTTAACATTTCATGACATTCAATATTGAGACACTGTTATTTAAAAATCGAGAACAATGAATAATTATTTTACATTTTACACGTTGTACTTTCTCAGGGCTTACACTAGAGTGCTGAAAGCTCTTGAGCAAGAGTATTAATGTGCTTTCTACACTTCCCAAAACTGGACTCATCTTGGGGGCAAGACGTGGCTTATACCCATGATCCCTCGTTCTGTCCCCTCTTAGATGTTTACTGCCCCAAACCCAAGATCATTCTCTTTCATCCATCTTGTGGCATAGTGGCTAATTGGTGGTTTGATTGCTGAACAAGGATAACCACAAGACTGACATAAAAGCCAGCCTGCCACCATGATGTTCAGTACTGCCAGCAACATGTAGCCATACAGTTATCCAGCATCAATAACACTAGCCAGAGTACAATTCATCTTAGCCAGCCTGGATGTTATTCATGTATTTATTATATTTTTATTAGCCTATTAACAATACTTTTCTGGGCAGATTACATAAAGGTAAAAGAATAAAATGCAATACAACTTGCAACAACAACAAAAAGCACAGGAAAAAGTATATAAAATTGAAAAACTGCTCTTTCCTTCCTCATGTTCTGCTTTCACTAGACTACTGCTGAGTAGCACTATGACTGGCCAATTATGTTTGTTACCCAGGAAAAGGCAGTCAGTTTGCTGAGCAAAACATGGGGAAGTCTTAAGGAGTGACTGGGATCCTGCTGGGGATATGGCCATCCACACTCTTGAGGAGCAAAAAGAAAAAGAAATCATTGTGATTAATATATGTGTTAAGAAAGGCATGAGATAGACTGTGCTTACATGCTTGTAGTGGCTTGTTGCCCACACTTATGTGGGGCTGGCTGCATATTGAGCCCTAAAGTGATGACTTAAGAATATGTTGGGAGTGAGGCCAAAAGAGTTTGATTGTTGACTAGGCATTAAATGCTAACCCATTGTGTCCATAGCAATGGTAGAATCTGGTATGTCCTATTAGTTATGACCCTCTCTTGATGCTAAATGTGCTTAACACTTGTGCTTGACCTTACTATATCATGACTCTAACATGATGATTGATATTTGCCAGAAGCATTTTTTAAAATTTGTGACAATTGGGATGTAGCACTAAAGAATGCTGTTAAGAAAAGAACAAGCACTATCTTCAGCTCAGCCTTTCAAATCCTTAGTTCATCTTATCTCATAATCTGATGCTATTTCGATGAGTTTCTGATTTTTGTTTTTGGGGTTTTGTTATTGTGTGTGGGGGGGGTTGTTTGTTTTGTTTTGCTTTGCTTTGTTTTTGACAGCCTTGCTACATTAGATTGCTTGGTAGGGATGGAGAAATAAATGAGGACATGGGATAAGTTGAATTAGACATTATAGAGGTGCTTGAAGTGAAGTGCCATCAGCATGCGGATAATGTTCAGCTTGTTCTCTCTATGACATCTGAGTCAGTGAAGCTATGCAATTTTTGGAACAGTACCTGGAGTTGGTATAGGGACTCATACAGAATTATTGTGGTATTTTGGGCAAACTACTCTATCAGGGAATTAGGTATACAGATAGAGTTGCATTCACCTTGAAAAAAGAAAGATAGGCAACTTGTGCCTTTAACCAGCTTTACCTGGTTTCAGAGCGGGGATAGTCAGACTGTGGGGATCCATTTTCTGGTACTTTTTCAATTGAATTAATATGTCATTGTACATGGGGCTGGCTGCCCTTGAAGATGAATTTTGCAACTTTGGAATAGTGCAGAATATGGTTATCAAAAATTTAATCTGTTGAGCCAAATGGAATATTACACAGATCCTTAAAGTGCTTCATTGCTTCTCAATGTAGTATAAAGTGCTGGTGCTTTCCTTTAAAGCCCTAAATGACTTGAGACCCAAATAACAAAGGCACGTCCCTCCATACATCAAGCTACACAGATCGTAGGCTTTCAGAGGAAGCTCCTCCCTAGGTTCCTTTGACTGTAGAAGCTTATTGTGTAGAAACAAGGCAAAGAGTCTTCTTTGTGGATGACTCCATCTTTGTAAAGCCTTCCTCAGTGACCCTTAACTGGCACCAATGCTGTTATCATTTCAATGCCAGATTAAACCTTATTTGTCAAGGCATTTTAAAGTGTTGGCCTGGTTTATTTGGCTTACTCCCTCATTTTTATACATTTGTTTTATTATGGTGCTGTTTTGTGATTTTATTGTGTAGCATATCTTGTTTTTTATACCTCGTAGATAGTACCCTGATATTCTAGGATGAAGGGCAGCTTAAAATTATTTTAAGTTAAAAAAGTGAAGGGCATGCCATTTTGAACAGGAATCTTGTGTTCTTTGTAACATATGGGGTTGCATGTGCCACACTGTTCAGGTAAAGTGTCCTTCATTTGAAATGACAAATGAATTGAATGCTACAATGTTGAAATATATTAACACACATCAGGGACAAGTACATTATGTTAGAAATGGCCATAATCTGCAATTAATAAATGCACAGTGACTAGAGGTTATGCTTATCTAAAGTGTTTACCTTACAGTGTACTATGGGGTAAAGTTTATCCCTGAGGTATTAAGTGAGTGGTTAGGTGATACATTTACATTCTGATTTGAGCCTGTGCTGGCTCAGTTCAGTTTATGGTGATATCCCAACCAATCAGTAGAATAAAGCACAATGCATGAGCAATTTCTACCTTATGTTTATAAACATACTTATAAGTACCCACCAAATAAAAATTAATGCTGATACAGCAATCGGTCATAGTGATTACTCAAGTGGTACATGTCAACAGTTGTTGCATGTAAAAGAAGTATACATTGTCTGAATATTCCTCCTATTTTATGACTTTCTCAACATGAGTACTTAAATTCACTTAACAACCACTACTGAAAGTGAACACATGCTCCTTTTCTTCTGCTTATTAATGTTAGATTTAGTGTCTTTGCTTCACACGAGAATTTGAGAAATTTTATGAAATATTTGCCAAGTAATTTAGATTCAATACCGTTGTAAAAATGAATGGGTAATTTATAACAAAGTTAACTGAATTAGT